GAGGTGATAGACCAACTTGAACATTTTAGGGGTTGACCAGGATGGATGATTCTCAGGAAAGTGGTGGTTTGTGGGCTCCTCAATATTGAATCCCCAATCCAGTGGTAAAGCACTTTCAAGTGTTAGAAGAACTTGAATGCTATTTGGGTTTGGCCAGGATTGACAATTCTCAAGAAAGTGTTCTGTGTAATCTTCAATATTGAATCTTCCATCCGATAGTAGCAAATTTTCAAGTGCTTAGCGATCCAGTGGACACACTTTCAAGTTATTGGTTAGACAAACTTTCAAGTGCTTTTGGTGAGCTTCATGTCAGCTATGCTCATGTTGACCCCTTTCCAGGAGGTAAACAAAGGCAGGTGCAACGCTTCAAAATACTGCATTTTCCAGTATTTTATGAGGAGGCACAGGATCATTGGGGGTACTATATATATGTGTGTATGTATGTGTATATATAGATATACATATGTATGTACGTTCACACACCGTCCCCCACCCTCTTCAACTACCTGTCCACATTTGCTCATCTACTACCTCCACCTTTTGAGATAGAATTCACTTTCCTGCGCAAATAGAACTTTAAATACAACCGGTTTAGCTAGACTCCCTGTTTCGAGATAGTTTTAGATTTTGAACCTCTCTTCCCTTGAACTTTCCCTTTGGAACACCGTCTAACAAGTTCAATGTCGGACCTTTCTTATGCTACAAAAGGGCCAGAATGTAAACAACACAAATCCTATTTTTAATTTCCAAATGTTTAGCCATATTTAATATGAATTATATTTGAGATGTAGTCTCTATTCACTTGATATTATCAAAAGCAAATTGAGTTGTGTTCGTCTTAGATTATATTTACCACTTGGATTACATTTGGGAAAAACTTCCATCTAACTTCTTGTGTTATAGATTAGTTGGAGTTTAGCCGAAAATATATATTTACATTTTCATGTAGCTGCTATTTGGAAAGGATTTGCTTGTTTAAGTTGTAATTGAACATAAGCACATTTTTGAAAACTATATCCATACTAAACTATATTCAAAATTCTAATTCTAGTTGAAGTAACATCTTATGTGCAAAGGGTATCATACTGGGACATTGTGGAGGACTCCGGGCTCCAAATTATCACGCTTTGGGGACCCACAATTGGAAATTTCGAGAATATAAATTTGGAAATTCTAGATTTGCCATCCCCAAAAGGCAGTAAAACCAGGGTCCATGGGGGGGGGGTTGCATATATATATATATATGTGTGCACCGGCAACATGGGCTTGACGGGACCCGAGTGAATTTTCGCAGGGTGCTAAATGGCCGGAGACCAAAAGGGGATGGTCTCACTCGCTGAGTTCATGGACTTGAGTCACTTTTTGGGCTTGGACTAGTTTAGTGGCAACCAGAAAGTTTGGGAGGACCTCCTTGGGCCAGTCCACTCGATCGGAGCTGTTCAAGGCCCAGTTGGGGAACCCCTGCCGAAAGCGAAAGGGATGGGTGAAGCAAGGTTCTAATTCGGATTCGTGCGGCCCATTCTCAGATCTAGAAGAATCCCTTACATGACATAGAACAGTTCTCTATGAATGGAAAACCACTCTGGTTGAATCATCGTGGAGTGAACCAGCACCGCAAATGAGGCTAGGGGCAGCAACAGTGTACGCACGTTCGACTGGAGGATTGGGCAATTCATGGGTTGGGTTGGTTGGCAAAGAGATGGCCCTTTTAAAATGGACCACGGTGCCGCCATTAGCCGGCCGCCAAAAGAATAAAACGGAGCCCGAAGAGGCTCGGCAAGAAAGAGTTGCAGCACTTGAGGAGAATCCCCGCGTATGCCTGATGCCTTGTAGATGATACCCCCACTTTGTCAGAAAGGTTTCGAGTCTCGGCTTGTCGGTTGCCACCAACCATTTCCGTAAGGGAGAGGTCTCCCTTTCCCCGATTTTCGGGCGGCAAGTTGCTTGCCATGGGATGTCTAGTGGATGTGGAGCCACAGCGGACTCGAGCCATCAGGGTAAAGGGTCCCAGCATGTCACAGCCGCCAAGTGCGGACTTCCACTCCGGACGATTTGTTTTTTTGTTCGGGGGGGATTGGGGTTCATTCCCCACAGAAGGGGCAGCCCGGGTTTTAAGTCAATCTTGGAGTACGCACCCTCCCAGACTGGGGGTCCCTTTGAAAGGATAATGGTCTTCAAGGACCCCCCCTGTCCAGTTCCATTTTCATTGGTGGGAGGCCAATTCAAAAGTGAACCCCTGATTTTACCTCAGGCTTCTCTGCCGCCATCAGCGCTTGTGAGAAGTGCGGCCAGTGGCAAACCTCCTTGCGGCTCCTGGAGCAGATGTACCACCGAGAGGAGGGGGCCGACCGCAGGGATAGCCAGTTGCTTGTGTAAAGACCTGCTGAGCGACTGCCTTTATTGACCTCACTTCCTGAGCTCATGTACTTTAAGCTAATCTTTTTGGTTTTTTCTCTAGTGGCAAGTAGAAAGTGTAGCCGGTCGGACACATGTTTTGTGT